AAGGTCAGGAGAATCTGACCTTCATGACCTGAGGCATTCTAGGGTGGAGAGGGGGTCTTAGAGGCGAGATCCTGCTTAACAATACTTATCTCCACTTGCTCTACCAGTTTTTCCCATTGCTAGGTGTCCGGGACATTCTGCCCTGGTGAACTCCTGTAACTGTCCCATTGCCCTGGCTCTACTCATGTCTGTCTGACTGCCTATGACAGTTCCATAGTAGTTTGATTTCTAGATCACAGATCTTCTTCTAGAAACTGCCCAAGTACCCTTCAAAAATTTATATTTCCTTCCATAAAGATTTGTTTTTTTCCATTATTGTTAAATGTTTACTGGTTTGTTCAGATTTTTTTTGTGTTATTATATTGGGTTGTGTTTTTCTTATTAATAATTTGGAGCTCTCTACAAGTAAGAGATAGTAAACTTTTACCTGTTTAAATATATTGCCGACCTTTTTACCCAGTATGTCTTTTAATTTTTTGAAGTCAGACTTTTGTGTTAAAATATATTGCAGACCTTTTTACCCAGTATGTCTTTTAATTTTTTGAAGTCAGACTTTTGTGTTAAGATCTGTCAGTAATTTTCATGGCTTCTGAATTTTGTCTTGCTAAGAAAGGCATGTTAAATTACACATTTTTAAAAAACCTGTATCTTATGCTTTTGTTTTTTGATGTGTCTAAGTTTTTTGGGTTTTTTTGTATTTGGTTTGAGGGAGGACTCGAACTCTCTCTGTCTCCAGTGGGTTCCAAATGTTCACGATAACAACTCATTGACTAACTCATTCTTTGGAAGAACTTTAGGAATATGAATTGAAACAACTAAATTACCTAAATACATTTCAGTATATTTTAAATTCAGTTTTCATATCAACATTTTAGACTTTCTGTTATTACTGTATTGTTTTTATTATATTTGTTGTTATTTATTATTGTTATTATTATTATTTTATCTTAATGGCACTGGTGAAGAAAAAGTTCATGTACTCAGGGCTATTGTCTCATTCATCGACTCATTTCTTTTTTCCAACAAATACTCATTGGGCACCTATGATGTGTTAGGTACTCTGCTGTGTGCTGCGGGAGATAATGTTAGGCAAGACTGAGTCTTCTTGAAGTTCTCTTGTGGGAGAAATCAATACAGAAGGCAATTAAGTGATGAGAGAGGGAATGGGGAAAGTCACTTTTGATAGTGGTCATTGAGCCCTCTCTGAAGAGGTGACACTTGGGAGGTAAAGGATGAGAAAGCCAGACATGCAAAGAGTTGGGGGAACCGCCGCAGATGGGCGAACCTGCAAATACAAATGCCGTGGGTCAGGAGGAGGCTGTGAGTAGTGAGGGGGGGAGGGCCTGGGGGCATGGGAAGTTGTGGGCAGGAGACTTAGACAGTGGTGGAAGGATTGGATTTTAGTCTGAGAAGAGGGGGAAGCCACTGAAAGGTTTCCAACAGGAAACTGATGTCTGACTTCCTCATTAAGAATTACCTCTTTGGCTCCTATGTGGAGCACTGGGAGGCTATGGCAGTCGTCAGGAGAGATGACAGAGCGTGGACCAGGGAGGCGACAGTGGATATAGAGACCGGGACCACGCCATGATGTATTTTGAAGTAAGATTTTGGTCGAGTGGATATGAGTTTGAGCAAAAGGAGAAATCAGTGTCTGACTCTGGAGCAAAAGTTCCTGTACTTGGCTGCACATTAGAATCACAGGAAAGCTTAACAACATCTCAACGCCCACCTCAGACCTGGGCACTAGCTGAATCCGAATGTCTAGGGCTGGAAAGCCAGGCACTGAGCCCTTTGAAAATCCTCGGGTGTTTCTCCTGTGCAGCCAAGGTGGAAAGCCGCTGGCAGGATGGGGGATTACAGCTGAGAGGTGCCAGTGAAGCAGGAAGGAAATCGGGGAGTGGGGTGTTGTGGAAGCAGAGAGAAGAGGGTGTCTCAGGGACATAGTGGTCAGCTGTATCAAATGCCGCCGAGCCACCAAGTCCAGGCCCGGGAAGTGGCCTTGGAATCTGCAGTCATTTCAGTGGAGTAGAATGAATGGAAACCCGAGGTTTGCTCTAGGAAATCTGAGGCACAGACAACTTGAGGGAGGTAAATGTTGGGTTCATTCCATCATGTAGCTTTAGTTGTTTTTTTCCTTTCCATTTTGATAACATGACCATGGAGAAGCATCCTGAATTTATGGACTATATATATGACATATAACATTGTGTAAATTTAAGATACACAACAGATTGATTTGATATAGATTGCCATTGTAGCAATAGTTAGCTCCTCTATCATGTCCCATCATTGTAATTTCTTTTTTGTGCTGAGAATAATTAAGATCTAGTCACTTAGCAATAATACACTGTTGTTGTCTATATGCACTATACTGTGCATTAGATCCCCAGGACTTGTCTGCTTTTAGCTCTTCAGTTTTTTATAGTTTGTCAATCAATTTTGACCAAGAACTGCAAGGCAAACAAAAGCTTTGGGGGGGGGCCGTCATTGTTTAGGAATTGCAATCCAGGATATATAGATTTGGGTAGAATCCCAACTGTGTTCTGAGGGGAAAGAAGGGTGCAGAATTTATCAAGACAGAAAAAGGGGACCTTCTAAAGGAGTTATACAAGTTGCTTAGTAAGAGCTGTGATTGGTGCTCACAGGAAGACTTGCATTAGGCTATACATGATTAATTGCTTATGTGTATTGCTAGGTGAAAAATTTATTTCTTAAAAGAGAGTTCAGGGAATCAGTCTGTTCCAAGAGCTATATCAGGATGTAGCCATTTGGTTTAGCCAAGTTCAAAAGTTCGGTTTCAAATGTGGTGAGGTTTATTAACTCAACTTCCTGGAGGCCTCCCAGCTCCATTTTAGACTCTTGACATATCACCTCCATTTTGCTGTTTTGTTGGTTTTTTTTTTTTTTTTACAAGGTACTTCTTCCACGCAGTCCTCCCAAAAAGATGCATATTATTTAGCATCTTTCTTCTCTTCCTCCCTCCCTCCCT